CAGATGCAAGGTGACTACAGAATACACAATAGCCTGTAGTCCAGATAGCTTAGCACAAGCTAGAAAAGGGTCTTTTTCACCTACGGGCCAGGGACCAGGGTCAGAGGCAAGGGGATGAATGGCTATAGAGGGGAACTGTAGGGAGGCTTCGTTCAGAGCAGGGAGAGGAGGGTGTCTCAGGGTGGGGACAGGCAGAACCTAAGGGATCAACGGGATCTCAGTGTGGAAAAGGCTGAGAATTCCAGGCAGCCAGAGTTTCTCTCAGGCTGAGTTCTGAATAACTGGATCCAACAGTTCTTCTAAGTAGGGTGGCAGGGTAGCTCCAGAGGCCAGTCTTCTGAGGAAGGACAGCAAATGACCGAGTCCAATCAGTTTGCAACCCAGGACAAACCTGGGCCAGAAACCAAAATGATTTTCCAAGACTTCTGTGAAAGCTCTTCTTTCCAAAGAGCTTTCTTCTTTTTGAGGTCTGTCACCTGGCTGACGGTCTCTTCCCAGGAGTGATTAAAAAAAACCCTTAAACGTGGAGAAGCAAAGTGTTCGTTTTGGGACTGGGAGAGAGAAAAGTCAGAGGATAAATTCATATCTTTTACTACTCCCCAACATGGGTAACTTTCAGGTATATGAGCTTAAAATGTTACTTCTGGTAGGAAGCCTACTGCAAACACCTGAGCTTGTCAGGTGCTATCTTCTGTGCACCTGTAATATTAATTGCCTACTTGTCACCCCTACTGAACTGGGAGCATGTGGGTAGGAACAAGCACAGGTCTGGAACAGAAATGCTCCAGGGCGCTCCACAAATGGTTGCTATTAAGATCCCCATCTTATATTTTTCCAAATTTTCCTCTGAACGCCCCTCTGTCCCAGAACAATCCTAACACACATATAACTTAAATACATAGAGAGGCATGTAACCAAACTGAACCAAGGGGGCCTGATTTGACTGCCAGTGCCTCACAGTGTGAGGCTGGCAAGAGCTTCTCCAGGTTGGGGGCGGGGGAAGATGACGACTCATTCAGATGCCCTCACCCCTCATAAAGGAGAACTCTGTAGGCGACACCTCATCCTGCCCCCAGGCTGGTGGGGAAAGCAGTCTAGTCTGGCTGACCAGGCAGAAGACATCCGACACTTTCCTTTTTCCCTCCCTCCAGGGTAGGTTTACCAGGGCTCTTCTGTCTGCCCCCAGCTCAACAAGCTTTTTTTTCTCCAAGGTATTTCCCTCATCCTTTGCTATGCTTTCATTGAGAAGGACGAAATCGCTGGCAACCTTAGTCACTGAACTCAAGTTGCTGAATAAGTCACGTAATAACATCAGCACCACCAGCAACACCAGCACCACGCCATTTATTAAAGTGCTGCCAGGCATGTGCTAAAGCTTTACATTGTTTCGGTTAATCCAACTACCCTGAGGTAGATATTTTCAACACCCCCTTCTCCAAGCACACATATATCGTTATAGTTGAGGAAACAGGTTCAGAGAGGTTAAGTCAATAAACTAGGTCAAATCCAACTGACAAGCAGTAAAGTGAGAAATCAGAACCGAAGACATCCGACTCCCAAATCCAGGCTTTTAAACACTGTGCTAGAATGTTTCGCATTAACATTAAAGGATACATTCTCCTGCTCAAATTACCCACAGACCAGATTTTAGGTAGGGAAGCAGATGAGGTCCATAAGCAGTTACTGTCCTTAAACACTTGGAGGAGTGAAGGGACAGTCTGGGTATAAGGTGACCACTGGGTGGGGCTCTGTGTCCTCCTGCCGCAGCTTCCAAGGCCTTTCTCATCTAAGATCTCCGCTCCTGACATACGACCACTCAACGTGACGTTCCTTCCAGCAAACGCTAAAACGCAGAGGTAAGCTAAACTTGGTGACTTGGAGCGCCGCCAGAAACACCTGAGAAATTAGACATTCACAAAATGCCCCCCATCCCTGAAATGCCTGACATATCCCTAAGGCACAGAGGAAGTCTTTTGATGGAAACACCTTTGGTTCTTCCACCCTGGCTTGCCTGGCCCCCCTCCTACTGAGTCTTCTGCTCAGTCCCCCTCACTGGGTCTCTGCTGTTCAAGACTCTCTAGGTACCCTCCCCTCACCCATCTCTGGGAGCCTCACTGACCAAAGGCCCTTGGGCCTCACAGCTGCCAGTGTCTGAGGATTCATCCCCCGAGTAATGCACGAGGTTTTCAGCAGGGCTTCCCCAAGGCCTGTGAGGATTAAATAGAGCTGGCTGAAGACTGGCAGAAAGCAGCACCTGAGTTAGAAAAGATGAACAAAATGACAAGAGGACAGAGCACACACAAATGGACTAACCTTTGAGTAAACAGAAATGGTAGACAGAACTACTGCAGGTCAGAAAAGGAAGATGTCTCCAAGATTAATAGCAATGACCCCAGAGAGAGGGATCCTAGAGAAAATTTATCCACGCTCTTGCAATCTGGAGCATCTCAGAAAAGGGCAACTGTTTAGGAAAAAAGACCTCGGCGAAGGGACTGCTGAAGAGACTGGGCAGGGGAAGGTTGAGTAGGAGAAACTGGGGGAGCTCTGGAAAAGGGAAGTTGGAACATCTCTTAAGAACACTGCTTGCAAGGACACCAGAGACATGGGCAGGCGCTGGAGGACAAGCACTGGAGATCCCAAAGGGACGCTGACTGAAATTAGGCCAGGCCCTTGGGAACCCGGAGTCATTTCCGGGTGCATCCCAGCATCCACCCTGTTTTGGGTAAAACTCGTCCATTTTGAAACTGAGGGCCAGTCCCTGCCGCCCTACTGAACTCTGTAGTGGACTGAATGGAAGCCAAAGATGGGAAATATACCAAGGGGGGCCCTTTCTCTGGGAAGTTTACATAAAGACAACCATCATGCTGCCACACCTCCACCCAATCCTTGAGGAAGCCTCTGATCTAAGGAACACACTACATACAAGTCGCAAAAATTGTGGAATAAACAACTGGTGCAAATTAATACTGTCCTTGAAGTCTGCCCCAAGAGGCAGAGGGATGAGAGGAGGAAACATGGAGACCTGGAAGATCCATGTTGGGAACTCTCCATACCTAAGACACAGCCTTTAAGTTAATCTCTTCACCTGCTCACACATCTGGGCAAGGGCCTCCGTGCCCTCCATGTGACTACAGCTGCACTGTGGGAGGGACCCACGTCGCGGGGCCCAGAGTGAGGCATTCCCCCCTGGGGAGCTCACGGCCTTGGAGGAAGAGCTCTGTTTTTTACTGATCTTCCTCTCCCCTCAGCAGTCTCTAATCTTGTCCTCACAAGGTTCATGTACATGGTTTCATAACCTCTGGTTGTTTCATGTGGTTTCTTCAACTAAGCAGAAGCTCCTGGAGGATAAAGACAAAGTTTTCTCCACACTCTGCAGTGCTGGAATGTAACAAATACTTGTCACTGACTGGCTGTCTGGAGGGCCGATTACAAAGACATTTTCTCACAAAGAGCCCATGTCAAAAGTGTATTTTTCTTTGCTCCACTGTTTGCACTTAATACCTATCTTCCTGTGCTGGCTCATGCCTGTAGATGTGTTCCTGTATCCACCTCAAGCTGGGGACCGAGGCCACCTACTCTTTCTTGCTTGTGGGAATAAAAGGGTAGGTGACCCGAGTCGCTGCAGGGGCAGAGGGAGGGTCTCCCCCACACTAGGCTGGCCCAATAAGGATCCTTCCCCTCTCTGTTTCCTAACAGATTCAGATTAATGATCACTCATTCCTAATTGTCAAATTTCTTTTCCTTCATCCTGTGTCTAATCACCAGTGACAGAAACCATTACGCAAATGAGAGCAGACGACTTCCCCCAACTGTTCGCGTTGGTAAAAACCTTGTAATTTAGAGCTCTGATTTGTAGGGGAAGCTGGTCTCCCCCAGGCATCCTGGGCATCTGCTCAACTAAAGCCCAGAACAGCCCCTCCTCCATCCCCCAAACTCCAACCCCCCAACAAATATTTGACTTCACAAGATTAGTTTCCTCCGTACTCGCTGGTGTAAAAATGAGTATGTGACATAGGCGACCTCCATACAAGCCCAAACCACCACCTTCCCATGGTGTCTGCCTCCACAGGAGTAAGCAACAGAGAAGAAATGTCTCCTTTGCCCCAAGAATTGGAGCCCAAAGGGCCCTAACCTAGGTAAATACAGGAAAGAGCCTCAATCTCTTCCTTGGGGAAAAAAGGAGAGTGCAGAACATGAATCAAGGTTCTTAGTGATCACCTAGATCTTCAATTCTACTGATGCAGAAAGAAGCATGCTGGACAAGTTATGGGACCTATTCAAGGACACACTAGTAACACACTGGGATCTAGAACTCAGTCTCCCCATAGCTCCTTCCAGCACTCTTAACTCATTATATGGCTTCCCAGCAGTTTTCCCCAGATGTCTTTAGATGGAACCCAGAAGAGCTTTCACGCTGTGCTGTATCTTCTGCACCAGACAACGCCCAGTGGGGTGAGAGCTGAGGCTGGCCTGTAGTACAGGGGAGGAGGTAAAAGAAGCAACAGTTTGGTTGAAAAGGAGCAGCAGGGGGCTTGTAGCCAAACAGACTAAGTTGGAATCCTGATTGCCACTGATCACTTAACCTCTCTGAGCCCTTTTCTTCAGCTGTAAAATGAGAATACCTACCTTGCAGGATGGTGAAGAACAAAGATAAAAGCACTAGGCACATATTAGGTGCCTAATAATCAGGGGTCACTATTACATTACCCAAGTATCATAACCAATCCTCTGCAGGTATACCCTTCAGTCCCCTGAGGTCAGATCTACGTCAGCACAGGACCCAGCAAGGACCAGGTAATGGCACACACCTCCCTGCTGTACATCAACCCACATCTTTGCAGGTGGAGTCAGGAATGCAGCAGAGCTGCTAAGGAGATCAAAAACAATCTGCTACCTTTCAGAGTATGGTTGTGATCAAGTTCATCCTCCACCTGCCTTGTTTTCTTTGTGCACTCCTCTTTCCCAAGAGAGATGGAGGGATGGAGATCACTGCAATCACGTTTTCCAGCATTGGCTATATTTGAAAGAACTACACTTGAGAAGGTACCGTGTTTGTGCACACACTGCATCAGAGAACCCCAGAATGGAGTACTAAAAATAAACACCCCTCGTAAAATACACGGGTACACATACACACACATCCTCTCAGTCCATCAGTGCACTGTAACTGTAAACTGAGCTTTGGGGGTAAGAGCCATAGCTCAGACACCGGAAGTAAACCTTTGGCCAAAAAAAAAAAAAAAAGAAAAAGAAAAATATAAACCCAGAGGCTCCAACTCTTCTTTCCTTCCAGAGAGAAGGGACATGGAGATGGAAGTGGAGGCGACATGACAGAGGGCCACCATATTCCAGGGGCCCCACTCCCACGGAACAGATGTGAATGGTGGCTCTTTGAGTTGTGCAGTGCACAGCTGCCCAGTTGTTAAGCTGCAGCCCTGAGAGGGGTTCCCATGAGTAGCTATGAAAAGGAAATTATATTTCTGTGATCCACCAGTTGCCCTGACTTCTGAGGGTGTTTGTGAAACATTACAGTGCGGTCTGGCAGAGGCGCTGGCTTTAAGAGACAAGGCTACATTTTTGTCCTTGCCTTGAGGTGGATGACAGGTGGTGACTTAGTTGCCTAAGCTGGACCCCATTTTTTCTACTCAGCCAGGGAGCTCCACAGACATAGAGGATGTAGCCTAGGCAGAAGAGGCCAGCCAATCAGCCTCAGGCAGGTTGCAGTGAGCCCTGACCAACATCCAATGGTTAAAACTGAGTTGAGTCAGGCAATACTGCCCTGGGGCTTCCACTGTATGTCTGCCTGGGTAAGATTACGCAGTAGAGAAACTTGATAAGCAGAAAGGCAGGACAGTGTGCAGGCACACACACGCCCTGCACAGAGTTGTGCACCCTTTGAATCCAAAGAAGCCACTGCTAGGACTCCCTTGGTACGTAGCACAGGGAATAAGAGCTGGTGCGGAAAGAGAGAAGCTTTATGTGTCTAAAATTTGAAACTTATGCATAATCCTTGGTTCTTGTGTTCCAAGGCTCTTTTCTATATATGGCTTGAGCATGAAGGTCCAAGTTGGAACCTAATTCTCTCATAAAAAACTCTCCAGGCCCTCAAAGCAAGCCTCCTTCTCACTCTCCCCATAAGAATCCCAGTAGCCATTCCCACACAGTCTAGAGCCTGACTCTGTGAAACCTGAAGGAAGCCGACTGACCTAAAGGTCAGGATAGCTCTGGTCCTGCAGCCCAGATGCAGCGGCTTCCAAGAGCATCTCCTCTCTCTCAGGCTGAGGCACAGAGGCTGCAGGAGATAGGGCTGAGAGCCGGAAGTGGGGTCCTGACCTGAAAGAAGGGCGTAAGGAACAGGTACACAATGCGTGTGCATGCACACACATCCTGAGGTTGACACACTGACACACACAGACATGATGACAACCAGAAGCTGGAACTCCACACACTGAATGCAGGACTTTAGAGGGGCAGGGAGGGAAGGTGCTGGGGCACAGAGGCAAGGGTATGAAATTCCTCCAAATGGGAGTGGAGCGCCAACCACCCTGCCTTGCCCCAAACACCTGCCTCCAGGGCCATGGCAAGAGTCCAGTCCATTAAGTGCTGCGTGCAATACTAGTGCTTGGAGTCTCCTGTCCTCATCAATGAAGCGGTGTGGACGGGCTAGCTGTCGCCTGGCAGGAGGCCTCGACTCCTGGCAGGCTAGTTGTATCGGCCCTTGATCATTGTGTTCAACAAGGGCCCCACCTGTGAAAAGACATGAGGAGTCAGTCAGAACTGCCTTCTCCCTGACCCTGGAGCCAGACAGGGGTATGTCTGGAGACATTCAACGTCCAGCCAAGGGCAGGGATAAGGCTTTCATTCCATCTTGTAAACCCTCTAACCAACTCTCTTCCTGGAGGTTAACCTAGTAATCTGAGGCATGGCGCTGTACCCTGGGTCCGCCCTGTATTACCTTCTCTCTCTGTAAGCAGCACCAAAATGAAAGATGGTCAGGGGGGCTAATAACCTCCAAACACCTAAGAGTGTTTGCACATATCTTAACTGTGCCTGAAGAATGTTACATGCTTTTATATCCTGAACAGGTCACCTGCAATTGAGGCTAGTACCATCTCCCAACCCCACAGGTCCTCTGGATACTGAAGCTAACCGCAGGATGGAGGCAAGCGTTACAAATACAAACGTCCCCCTTTTACCCAATGGGCCACTGGCACACCTGTGTGGGATGCAGGTCTCAACATTACCTAGAGCAGCCTTGGCACAGCTGGGAGAGTGTGAGGAGACGCTTTACTGCTCAATTCCCATTCCAGAAGAATCCCCTCAGGGGTCCCCAGCTGGCACACAAGCCCCATGGGGAACATTACCACTAGCATGGAACAGATTATAATTGATCCGCCAGTCAAGCCCAGCTCTCAACAGAAAACATGGCTTTTCTGAACATACCCATAACCTCTATGGATAGGACACCAGCTACTGAAACAGAGGAGCTGTGGAGAATGTGACACCAATCCTGACTTTCCCTGGTCACTGCCCACTGAACCACAGGAATGCCATCTTGGGGCGGCCACATACCTCTTGTGGGTTCCCCAAGGCCTCTCCAAGCATCTTCTCAATGTTTCTCATTATGGCCACTTTCTGATGGGCTTTGAGAGGATATTCAATTCTCTTAGGGGTGGGGGCCCCCTGCAAAGGAAGTAGCAGCTCAGAAAATGCCTTTAGCAGAAGGCTTCAGTGTTACCCACTATTCCTAGGTAATATCCTCCCTTCTAAGAAACACGGTTCAAACCCATCCCTTTTCATCTTTCCAAAGACCTGGGAATCATTTCCAGAGATAGCCAACCTCCCCACCCTGTTCCCAAGTAATTTATTACACCTACCTCACCCCAGTCCCACCTAGGGGGAAAAAAACAAACAAACCCATATTCACCTTATACCAGAAGTTCACAGTGATGGTAATCCCCCCATTTAGTAATGACTCTATATGATGCCACCTGCAAGAAAATAAATAACCTCCTGTTTGCCACCAACACTTTTCAAAGGAAGGGATGCAAAACTAGGTAGAGTCTAGCTAAGGGAAATAATGAAGACAGTCTCTTTATGCTCAGCCTCTCAAACACACCCTGGGCTATAGACAGGGCTGTCATTTCCCCCATGTTCAGCATGCTCACACCTGGATATGCCAACCTTCCTGTAGATCACGTAAGATCTAAGTTATCACCAATCCTGCCACAACTCGGAAGGGATACAGATAAGGCTTTCCAGAGAATGAGAAAGAAAGCTCCCAAGAAATCCCCAGTCCTAGTCCGCTCCTCACCAGTACATTGGGATGTAAAGAACATCACCAGGACCAACCACCGTTTCATAACCAACCACGTTCTGGAAATTGGGGAACCTCTCGTAGTCAGGATTGTCAAAGTCCACCTGAGAGGTTCAAGAGAAAGAAAAAAAATCGGTCAACTATCAAATTTTTATCATTAACTACTCTGTGAAAGTTGCTCTGGTAGTCAAAATAAGATGCCTTAAAAAAGAAAAAAAGATGACTTTAAACTTTATACCCAGCAGAAGACAAAACACAAATTAAACAACATAAGACATGTCATATTCAAATGTTAAGTGATAAAGAAGCATAGGCCTCAGCGTTCCTGAGGTCGGAAGCCAATCATGACAGCTTACGGGCCAGAAAGCCTACCCACTGCCTGCAGACACAGGGAATCAGAACTCACCCTTCACCCAAACTTTCATAAACTTTCTTCCAAACACATGTCTAACCAGTCAAGCCTCCTACATGAAGTAGCTAGGCAGCTTTCACCTCAGGAAAGAAAACGACCTTTCTGGTTGGTCACAAAGTTAACCCTACACCTGACTTGGATCCTGAAAAAGCATTACGTGATATATCTCAATTCTATTTGCCCTTTTTATCAAAAAGTAGTGTCCCTGAGAAAACAATTATTAAATTCAATTAAGACATAACACATTTTGTTCCATGAACTTGTAATCCAATCAGAGTCCATCAGCATCAGTGCTACAGTCAACCCTCCAGAAATTGCTCTACAGGGCTGTTTATACTTATAAGCACCTGGGAACTGCCATGGGGGCCTGGAATATGCAGGGCGGGGCAAAAGTAGGTTTACAGTTGTGAGTACAGGAAACAGAGTTTATTCTGGTATTATTTATTTTTCTATTATTTTTCATACGAACTGTAAACCTACCTTTGCTCCACCCCATTATGAGCTAAACTGTGAAATTATCTTGAGTTTGTCCAAACCTGGCACACCACCATGGAAAGGGGAAAGACATGCCAGCCTTCAATCCCCATCGAGTTCTATATCTTTCTCAGATCACATGAGCTCACCTGGCTCTGTCTGTCACACGGATGATGAACAGGATATGGGTAGAGGCACTCAAACTGATCCGGAGGGAATAAAATGCATCGCTTGTAGCCCTTTATCTGAGCAAAGAAGTTCTGTTGCTCATCATAGTGAGCAGGTGTCACGTTTCCTGTAAAAGGAAAAACATTATCTTACTTAGAGCAGTGGATCTACTGCATAGGCTGGGACACAGGGCCCAGTGCTGGAGAGAAACGCAGACTGCCCATTCAACTAAGAATTTCTAATTAAAAAAAAAAAAAAAAAAAAATCAGGCAGAATCAAGGAGACGGCAATTACAACTCTCAGCAAAGTAGATGTTACACTTTTAATGAGCAATAAGTCTGGCAATAAGAATTCAGCGTCAATTAGCAAAGTAGACTTTCTTAAATGGCTCCTGCCCTTACTGGAAGCAACAGCACAACGAAATGATACAAGTCTAGCAAAGTAATATACATACTTATACTCTTAATGACTATGGCAAAAATTCCAAGGTAGCAAAACAAGAGAAACAACTGAAATGACCGGTGTCAACAATGCATGCATTATCTTCTTTGATGGAATTAACCAGTCATTTTTAAGTTGTATGAATACGTACTTGTTTTGGGTAGCTCTTTTGGAGTGTAAAGAGTCTCAACCTTTCCTCCCACTTCAACACACCTGTGGGATGCAACACTTCTTAGAGCAACACTGGGGCTGTTAATTCTCACAGCGGTAAGCATATCAGATACCTACAGAGTGTTACATAACTTGAATAAGGCAAGTTATTTTAAATGTCACTTTGAATTAGTTCTGCCAGAGTGTGTGTATGCTCTATCTTCTCTTTGTAACTGAGTCCATGTCTGTGTTTTATCCTTCGCACAGTCCTTGAAAGCTGCAGGGCATGGAGTATAGAAGACTTTCTCCAGGTCTGCCTGGGTGGGCCAAGACAGCTGTTTTCTTAAGAGCTCCCCTAGCGATATTTGCTCTCTCAACTCTACCTGATGGATTCACTTTCCTGCACTCTAACACAAGATAGGAAGGCATCAGAAAAACACAGTCAAGTAAACCAGATTTGGTTTCTGGACCATGAACCAACAGTTGGTTTCAAAGGGACAGGTTAAGGATCAATCCATAAGCTGCAGCAAATATGAAGAAAGGATAATCAAAGGGGGAGGAGACTTCAGGGCCCAGTGGTGAATGACAATGAATAACTGCTTCCCTGTTCAACCCAATTTAGTCACCATTTACTAAGTGTGGGCCTGGCACTGTAGTAGTACTGGAAATAAAGATAAGAATGAGGTTAAATAGCTTTCCTTCTGACTGGAATTTAAAGGCTTCTCCTTTTATTCAAAAGAAAAAACACCAAAAGAACATATTCACATATTTGCTTGTGCACACATAAAATTCTCTAGCAGGATACACAAGCAACTAGTAGCATGCGGTACCCCCGGGGAAGGAAACTGGGAGGTTGAGAAATAGGAGTGGAAGAGAGATTTATCGTTACATACCTATTAATACCTTTGGATTTAACCCCATGAATGTATTATCTTTTCAGTAGTTAAGTTTCGATTTATATTGGAAAAGTACACATTCCCTCTTCTACTGGGATAAAAATCTTCTGAATACAGACACATCCAAAAGAGAGCAGTATTTCAGAGATCTCTGATATCTGAGCATACACATTCACAGAGCAACTGAGCAAGGGAAACGGGGACATTTTTTAGTGTGCATGAAACTGGCTTGAAGACAACATAAATTATCTTATTTCATCTTCATAGCTATTTATAAGATAGTCTCATGGTCCTTTTGCAGAGGAGGCAGCTGAGGCTTGAGAAAGTTAAGTCACTTTTTCAAAGTCAAGGAGCAAATAGTGAAACATAGGATTAGGAGCCAGGTTTATATGGCTCCAAGCTATGCTTTCTGAAAGCTGTCTTACCTTCCATGCCTATGAGCAGCAGATTGGAGGTCAGCTGCCCCCAGCCACGCTTTCCTTGTTGCTTATTAATCCAGTTCCAGTTAAAACCCAAGAAGTCCATGACAATCTTCCTGCCCACAGTGTCATTGAGTGTTTGCTGCAGATACAACCTATGTTCCCCAAGAAGAAGATCTCATTAGTGCATATACATACAGTCCCTTGGCATGGCCTCCTCACATCTGGAAATATAAGCCCAAACCCATACCAGCATCTCCCACAGAGAATAATCACTGTCACGCAACACTGTCATGCAAAACTTAACATGGATTCTCATAGAACTGAACCCTTACCTATCCTTCTTTGGACTCTGTTCAACACTGAACTCTTTATTTTATTTTTATTTACTGATTTTTGAGAGAGAGAGGAAGGGGGGAGGGGGAGAAGGAGGGTAGAGGGGAATGGGAAGAGAGGAGCGAGGGGTAGGGAGAGAGAGACAGAGAGGGGGAGAAGGAGGAAGGGAGGACCACTGATTTGTTGTTCCACTTATTTATGCATTCATTGGTTGCTTCTTGTATGTGCTCTGATGGGAGATGGAACCAGCAACCTTGGCTAATCAGGATGGCGCTCTAACCAACTGAGCTATCCAGCAAAACTTCGTATTTTAAAGAGGTGATCTTAACTTTTTCTAGGTCACAGCGTAAATCCTTAAACAATCCAAGAAAGGTTCCGCATAAAAATGCACACACACACACAGAACTTCCATACAATTTCTTCCATAGATTCCTCAAAGCCTATCCATAGTCCCTAGAATGATGAATCAGCCTTGTTCCAGGGACTGTCAGGGCCCAAGATATTCCCTTTGGCCCTCAATGGCTGTTGTAATAGATCATGTTACTGTTCACCAAAAGCTAGTCCCTTCCCTGTGCGAGTTAGTCTTCTGCACTCCCTTGAAGCCATTTAACTTGCTTTGGCCAATGAAATGTCCATCGTAGTGGCTTGTGATGTCTCCAAACTGGAATTTTAAGAATCTGTACACACTACCACATCTTTTCCCTCTACCACAGCAATGGCAAAGTTTCAGAGAGTAACTACTGGAGCAATCTGGGTCCCAAAGTGAAAAAGATTATGTAAGAGCACAGCCTTCTCCAGGTGATCAGTGATGAACATGTAGTGTGAGTGAGAGATAAAGTTGCAGAGTTATAGCTTGAAGTTTACTTTATCATAATTGATTCGTCCACCTCTCTATAGCAACCTTCTACAGCTGACATGCCTCATCAGGCTTTCTGCAGGCCCAGGGCTCCCAACACACGTGAGGAATATCAGAAGTTACTTAAGGTATATGAAAACTCAGACACATTTAATCAAGCCCCACAAGAGACATTAATAAAGATGTTGGAAGGCAAGATACAAAAGCAGCCCTTTCCTGATCCTGAGAGGGTTACTTCAAAAGGCTCAAAGGTATCTCAGTGCCTAGAACATAGTATTTAAGGCAACATTAACTAGAAATCTTAAAAAGCTAGAAACATTAGCTACTTTTGGGGGGACAAGGAACCCTCAGGGTTTGAAAGCAACCTTTAGACTCTCCCCAAAGATTAAAAGAGGCAGGACCCACTTACAAAACAATAATTTAAACAATTTGTGTTATACTAACAGTAAATACTCAAAAGAACTCAAAGAGAACGCTAATACCCTTCACTCCAGAATCATAACAATTTATACAATTATGCAGTGAAGTTGGCTGGTGCTAAAGTCAGCTGGTAGGGCACAACTGGCACATGGAAAAAAATTTTTCTTGAGTCACCCATGAAGTACAGACTTCACTCATAGGGAGAGAAAATGTTTTCACTATAGCACATAAGAAACTTAAAAGTGACTGAGGAACCAGAGGATTCATGAGTCTTACCTCATGCTCATTCCATTGCACATGTTCATTAAATGGATTTACACTCCGCCAGCACTGTTTAAATAGCTCTCAATCTGAACGCTGGATGTACTGTGTGCGTGCATATGTGCATGTTGTTAATTTTAAAGAAATTAATGCCTGAGATAACACAACTAAACCTGTGTTTAAAGACATAAATAGGCCCTAGGGGGTGTGGCTCAGTGGACTGAGCTCTAGCCTGCTAACTAAAAGGTCACAGGTTTAATTCCCAGTCAGGGCACATGCCTGGGTTGTGGGCCAGGTTCCCCAGTTGGGGGCGTGTGAGAGGCAACCACATTGATGTATCTCTCACACAGGGATATTTCTCTCCCTCTCTTTGCCTCTCTAAAAAGTAAATAAAATCTTTAAAAAAAAAACCATGGATAACAGATCACAGCTCAGATGAGGCTCTGAAAACTCTTTTAGTCAAAGTTCTATCATTGTGATAACTGCTAAGAGTCAAGAAAATGGGGAAAAAAGAGTATTTCAAATCCATTCACTCAGCTGCATAAAGCTAACAGAAAATCAGAAGAGAACTGAGGCAGAAAGGCCAGGACGGGGCACCAAATGTGAAATGCAGGTGGTCATGCACCATGAAGTACTTAGTGAACGCCAATTCCTCAGACACAATGGTGGGACTGAGTGCTGAGACCTACCTAAGAGGCTGCCCTCATAAACAGGGATAAAAGCAGAGGGGAAGAATCACTCCTCTGTGTGTGTGTGTGTCTTGTGCTTGCTATCGTCAGTACAACGTGAAACATCAATATACACCTCTGATCTAATCTTCCCTAAAATAGAGGATCTTGATATCCTTCACCCCAGAATTACAACAATTTATACAACTTTTCAGCTTGAACTATCCCCAGCCAGTCCAATATTTTAGGCTGCAAACTGGTAATCTCAAGGCTAAACCCAACAATACACATTTTTGTTTGGCCCCCTGCAGCATTTTAAAAAAATCTGAATTAGCTGTGCAAATTCAAAAGTCAAAAAGATCTAAAGTAAAATTCCTGATTTATGGCTTCTTTTGAAACATCAGAATATCTGGCCATCCTGAAACTGAACGCCCAAATGGAAACAAGTAATGACATCTTACTTTGAACATGACGCATGCATTCAGCCTCACTGTAGTTTTTCCCCACACAACTTCACTCACTTTTTCATCTACCTGACCCTTGTAAGCAACTAGGACTCTTACTTTACGAAGATGACAAAAACTGGAGAGTCACAGTTCATGACCATCATTCCCTCATCCCTCATTTTAGAGAACTCACCCAACTCCTCCATATCCTCAAACAAGTACAAGAAAGGAAAATATATGCCTTAGAGCCAATAGAAAACCATCATCTGGGAACTTACCTCTCTTCCCCTCCTCGCTCTTGTATATCGTGCAGTTTCTCAACAAACTCGTGGAATTTCATTTCCTCCCTGTTAGACCTTGGCTTAAAGTTCTGGAAATTGGCCATCTTCTTCTCATCATAATACAAGAACTTGTGGGTACTAGCACTGTACACAGAGAAGTCTCCATTGCCAATATTCTCTTGCAGGTATTCAAGGTCCCATTTCAGGGCAGGATACACAAGATTTGTGTCGGTCAGCACCACAGGCTCCTAAGCAAAAACACCAGATTGGGCGGCGGGGAATATGAAGTCGTCCCAAGGAGCTGGTGGATTCTGGTTCCCTTATTTCACCTACTTCCCAACTTCAGGGTAATTTCTCCTGCTAACCTAAGTCCCAATTTCTTTTCGACTTTCTCTCCAGCTCTCCTCAGGCCCCAGTCCACCATAGCCAGCACCCCACTTCTGTCAATGTTCGCCTTTGACCTCTCCTCTCAACCTGCTCCCTCCCCTGCTACCGCTTGGGACGCGGCCCCGCCCCCTACCTCATTCTCGATAAGCTCCTCCGCCCGGGGGTCGCTCTGACTCAGACGCGGGATGGGCCGGGTCGGAAAGCTATAACTGCGCAGCTGGGACTCATTCCAGGAGGGACCGGGGGCTTCAGCCTCTTCCCGGGGTTCTCCAGAGCCTGAGGCCGCGGCCTCCGCCGTTGTAGCCGCCATCTCCGCCGCTAGGGACGGCCCTACCGGAACCGGAAACTCCGCCTATTCCGGATTAAACACAACAGAAACCATAGAGATGAGCTGCGAGAGAGAGCGGTCCATAAGCACTGAAAACGCGGAGCCGAGACATGGGAGTGCTCCAACTAATGGTAACTAACAGCCCTACACTCTAAATTTTGCCCTGAAGACCTGGGCCAGATGCTAGTCCCACTGATTAGGGTTGCTAACGTGGTTAACTAATTCACAAAATATTATTGCTGCCTCAATGTTTCCAGGCCTACACAAAAGGCAAAGAAGGAGGCAAGTGTAATGGGGCATTAAATTTTACACTAAGGGATGGGAGAGACGCAAACTCTTGACTTACTTAAAGAAGTCAGAAGGAAAAGCCATTATCTGATAGATGTTGAGCAAAGATATTTCACCAAAGGCCCCTAGTCTAGACAAAAGATTACAGCAAGGTGACATTTTAAAAAATCAAATACGAGTTTTTTTGTTTGTTTAGCATCATTTGATTTTTCTGCCTGTGTCACTATCTCTCATACTTGAAGATATTTTGCTATGGGTCCAATGTTATTATAGTTGCCAAGCATGAACATCCCACATTTCAAACAATTTATATTGATTATAAAATGTCGTAAGTCAAATTCTAAGATGAATCCAAAGACTTCCATTCCCTGGTGTACAAGCCCTATACATAAGTCTCTCCCCCTGAATAACAGCAGGACTTATGAATGTGATAGGGTAGCACTCCTGCAATGAGATTGTTATATGGCAAAAATGTAATTAAGGTCCCTAATCAGTTCACTCTGAGTTCATCGAAAGGGAAATTTACCCTAGGTGGGCCTGACCTAATCACTCTAGCTCTTTAAATCTGGGTCTAGCTCCAGCTGGTATGGCTCAGTGGATTGAATGCTGGCCTGTGAACTGAAAGGTCCCAGGTTCAATTCCCAGTCAGGGCACATGCCTGGGTGGTGGGCCAGACAGCTGATTAATGTTTACCTCACACATTGATGTTTCTGTCCCTCTCTTTGTCCCTTCCTTCCCCTCTAAAAATAAATAAGCAAAAACCTTTTAAATCTGGGCCTAGAGGTTGGAGACAGAAGCTAGAGAGATTTGAAGCTCCAGAAGGGGTCCTGTTGACTTTTAAGAAACAAATTACTGAGTGGCAGAGAATGGCAGGTAAGCTCTAGGAGCTGAGAAAGGCTCCTTCCTGGTTGACAGCCAGGAAGAAAGTAGTGACTTTAGTTCTACAAATGCAAGCAACTGAATTCTGCCAACAACCACTGAGCTTGGAAAAAGACAGAGCCTCAGATGACATAGAAGCCCCAACCAATACCTTGACTTCAGGCTAGTGAGGCCCTGAGCTGAAGCCCAACTAACCCATCCTGGACTCCAGGCTCATGGAAAATGTGAGATAATTAATTTGTGTTATTTTGGCTGCTGAATTTATGATAATTTGTTATGCAGCAATAGAAAACTAACACACTGGCTTAACTATGTAATTGTGCTATATAATAACTATATTATACCAAACTGATAATAGGGTTACCTCTGTGGAGGGTTTGAGGGTGCAGTGGCAATCAAAACTTTAGTTTTCATCTGCAATGTCTGAATCTTTACAAGAATATATTAACATGAAACATCGGGAGTTACAAATAAATTATACTGAGAAGATTCAGATGACTAAATTCAGGAACAAAAGAAGTGACATTACTACTGATTTGCAAAGATGAAAAGGCATTCAGGGTAATACTATATGCATATATTTGAATGCCAAAAAAAATAGATAAGCTCGATGAAATGAAAAGATTCTTGGAAAGGCACAATCCATCATAACTGATTTAAGAAGCGATAGAAAATCTTAATAGAATTATAACAAATGAAGAGATTGAATTCAGAATAAAAAGTGTTCCACAAAGAGTAGCCCAGGGCCAGATGGATTCACTGATGAATCCTACCACACATTTAAAAAAGTATTGACATCAATCCAACACAAAATTTCAAAAAATAGAAGAGGGAACACTTCCCAACTCTTTCACTGAGTCCAACATCACCCTGACACCAAATGAGAAAAAGACATCACAAGAAAAGAAAACTACAGACCAATATCCTTTATGAATATAGATGCAAAAATCTTCAATAAAATACTAGCATATGAAACCCAGCACCATATAAAAAGGATTATATACCATGACCAGGTGGGATTTATTACAGGAATGCAAGGTTGGTTCAACATCCAAAATTTAACAAAATTAATAGGAGAAAAAAAAAACATGATCATCTCAATGGACACTGTTGGTGAAAAGCCTTAGAAGTCTAAATTCAGGATCAATTCCAAAGAACTGACACATAGCCTTATTCAAATCCATAAGAGCTTTAATACTTACATACACGGGCAAAGCAGCTGCTCCCAGCAAGGGCCAGCCAGCAAGGAAGAATCCACAACCCTCTCAGGACAGGGTCTCTTTTTTATATGGGGTTAAAAGTAAAACCGTATGATTGGTAGTCACTGTAGACCACCAGAAAGAACAATGCATTCCTAGGTTAACAGATGACATCAGGCAGTTATCATACTCTATACGTTCATTAACCTCCTTCATGGGGGCATGATGTATATCTTTGGTGGTATTCCAATTTTCTGAGTAGTCAGCCATGCCTGAGGGTACAGGGAGTTAAGAGTTCAACATTTCCCAGATGTCTTTGCTCTTGGAGCCATATTGCATCTCAGTGAGTTCTCCTACAAACACTAAGAAAGCTTTTGACAATCTCCAATACATTTCAGGATAAAAATGGAGTCCCATGGGGCACCATTAAGAAAGTGAAAAGCAGTCCACAGAATGGGGGAAAATATTTACAACAAATCATTTATCTGATAAGAGACTTGTATCTATAATACATGAAGAACTCTTACAACTCAACAACAAAAAGACAACCCAATTAAGAAATGGACAAAGGACTTGAATAGACATTTTGCCGAAGAAGGCATACCATGGCCAATAAGTGCATGAAAAGATGCTCAACATCTTTAGTCATTAGGGTAATACAAAATAAAACCACAATCAGATACTATTCATATCTACTAGGTTAGCTATAATGAAAAAGAGAGACAATAACAAGTGTTGAGAATGTGGAGAAACTGGAACCCTCAATACACTGCTAGTGAAAATATAAGGAAATATTAAATGGTGCAGCTTCTTTGAAAAATAGTTTTGTAGTTCTGCAGAAAGTTAAACATAGAGTTACCCTATGACCCAGCAATTTTACTACTAGGTATATACCCAAGAGAATTGAAAATGTACATCCACACAAAAACTTATACAAGAATATTCACAGAAACATTATTCATAATAGTCAAAAGTAGAAATAATCCAACTGACCATCAACTGAATGTATAAACAAAATGTTATATACCTATATAATGAAATATTAGTCATAAGAAGAAATAAAGAACTGACACATGCTACAACATGACAAACCTTGAAAACGTTAAAAGTGTTTCTGTTTATGTAAAATGTCCAGAATAGGCAAATCCATAGACACAGAAAGTAGACTGGTGGATGCCAGAGGGTAGGGGTAGAAGAAATATGCTAATGGGTATGGGTTTTTTTTCAGGGAGAGGTGATAAAAATTTTTAAAAATTAATCGTGGTAATTGTACAACTTTGTAAATATACTAAAAATAATTATACACTTTAAAGTGGTGAATTTTATGGTATGTAAATTATTTCTTAACATAAATAAATAAATAAATAAATAAATAAATAAATAAAACAGCTGTTTTTTAACCCAAACTATATCAGGGCTTCCTACTAATTGAATATGGGTAGTGTCCAATTATCCTCAATATCAACTAATGATGCTCATTTAGAAAAGGGCCTGTTGCTGTGATGTAGTCCTCCCCAAAATTTATATACCAAATACTATATATCAGTTTTTATTGCTCTGATATATATTTGAGAATGCCTAAAATACAGGAATCTGTGCCAAAACAGTGATCACCCTAAAAGTTCCTGGAAATATGTGCATATTTATACTGTGCAAACTATGCAAATTCCACTTTTGTAAATAAAATGAAAACGCATTCATAAGTAAACATAATAATGTTCCCCATTCTTCTTTTAAGCTAGTGTTTGTTAGTTGTGATCCGGTTTGAAATGTATTTATCCAGGTCCTGGCAAATCTGGGGCTTTATGCGGGCTCGGAAAAGCTGCCTCGGGTGATAGTATTGGTTTGCTTTTGCTGGGTTGAGGTGACTGGAACATTCGTACGTAAACACGGACTGAAAACGAGGAGCCAATTCCAGGCGGATTTCTCTGTTCCACCGTGCAACTCAGTGAAAGGAATCAACCAATTTGGAAAACAGAACAAAAACATGCAAGACCAAGGGCTGCATTTGAAGAATGATCACGTCTGGGATGAATGGAGCAAGTGTCAGTAAAGGAAAAGAAAAAAGCAAGCAATCAGAGATTAACACAGGCTCACTTTACTTGTACTGCTCCTGGGGGAGGTGGGTCAGCTGTCCACAGTAGATGCTTAGGTTCTGAGTCCTCATTATCCTTGGATGGGTCTAACGGAGGGAGAAAAAGAGACACAACAATCTGAAATATCAAAGCAGTGACCTGCTTGGTTTTCTCTTCCAGCTTTCCTCTCTGCTTCTATCCATTTGTACATCTTGCCTCTCTGGCTTCCCAACACCCTGTTGAACCCCTAACACCTTTCCTCATTCCCTACTTTCTCGGTCGCGTTTGGCCCGGCTCAGCCGCCGTAAGAGCCCTTTACGCATGTGCAAAGTGAAACGGGAAGAAGGTCAAGATGGCGGCGGCCAGGGCGGGGGTCGTAGGAGTCCGATGGCTGCAAAGGGCAGCTCGGAACCTGGTGCCGCCGGGTGCACGGACAGGTCCGCGAGAACGGGCGAGGCCTCAGTGTGGAAAGGGGATGCCTGAGGGTTGGTGTGTCGCGGGGTTGATGGGTATCGTGGATACCTCGGCGGCCGTGTCCGGGCTGGGGGCGGAGGCGTAGTTTGTGTATTAGAAAAGCGGATGCGGGGTCTCGCTGGTACCTGGACGTCTCGGGCTCCAGCCTCCGCAGCCACTGCAGCTTGAAACCTTCGGGGCGTCAGACAGAATTGGGTGCCTTCTCACTTGCCCTCGTCTGCCCTCCAGCCTCCCACATCACCAAGGACATGCTCCCGGGGCCCTATCCCAAGACCCCAGAAGAAAGGGCTGCTGCCGCCAAGAAGTATAATATGCGGGTGGAAGACTACGAGCCGTACCCGGATGATGGCATGGGGTGAGAGAGAGTGGGTCTGTCGGCACTTGGGTAGTGATGGGAGAAGGCTGCTGGGTTGGTGGCTCGGCTCTGACCACCACCCCCAACCTTCCCGTGACCCCTCAGAATCAATGGTGTAGGTGCTTTTCTCGGTAGAAGGGAAGTGGGAGGGGGTGAGTGAGCAGCTGCAGCCGAGAGGACTTCAATTTTCTCCTTGGCTCGAGCTGTTTCCTCAAATGAGGAAGCGAGGTTTTAATAGCTCCCTTGAGGACCTCTGAATAGCAGGAACCTTACTTGGCTCTATCCAGTGCTCAAGGTTTCATTTGGCTTGAGCATCTGCTGGGCTCAGGTGCTGTCGTCCAGGCGCGTGACCAGGCTGGAACTGGACTGCTGTCATGAGAACCTTATTTGTAGATGGAGTACTCTATATTTGTGTATGTCTCTCTCTTTAAAAATATCATTGCTGTTGGGGCTGTGGAAATCCTAGTAACTGTAAAGCCGATTAATGTCAACTCCCTTACTCCAAGTGATGTTACTCCCCCATCCCCTCGCCCCCATAGCTACATAACATCTCTATGGTTAATTGTCTGAACTGATTACCAGCATTCTCATTTTCTGTCTTAGCATCACTCTTTCAATTGTGGTTTCAGCAAGTCCTATTCATCTTATTTCCCAGTCACTTTCTGTGATACATGTCTAGTTGTCATCATTTCCTATGTCTTTTATTGTGATGTGGACAAGAGCAGCTTTGGTAGCCTTCTGTATAAGTTGAACCTGGATTTGTTGGGGAAAATCCAACTTAGCAAGAGATCTGTACCCTTTTTACTTTTATTCCAATTAGCTGGGTGACCTTGGGTTCAGACCCTAACCTTCAGTTTCATTTTCTGTCTAATGAGTAAATTAGAGTGATGGGTAACTAAATGCCCTCCCAAGCCTAACATAGTGACTTTTCTTTTTTTTTCAAAGAAGGTAAGAAGAGCTAATGATGTTATAATGTTTCAGAGTTTGACTTGAACTTTTAATTACAGTTTGGACTTCTACGGTTAGTTCTATGCTTAGTGACTAGAAATTGAGATCTTGGATTTGAAAGTCAGCTCCTCTGTCTTTAGGTGAGGCAGTTAGTTGGGTTTCTTATCTTTGAGCTGGAGACTCTGAATTGTCCGAGAGACACTGCTCAGAGCCCCTTCCAGAAGTTCTTGCTGTCTCTCAGGTATGGCGACTACCCAAAGCTCCCTGACCGCTCACAGCACGAGAGGGATCCATGGTATGACTGGGACCACCCAGACCTGAGATTGAACTGGGGTGAACCGGTGAGAGAACCCTAATCCATTTAACCTTTCTTTTCCCTAATGTATTCCTGGGGATTCTTTCTTTAGCTCAAATAGTACTTCTCTGCCCAAGTAACACTAAGGTTTTCTGCCCGAGGAAGCAAAATCCATTGATCTGAGATCTGAGGTTCCATGTGTGGCATGTAGAATGGGACTTCTGGGAATTAACAAGCTCTGTATTGTAAAAGTTGTAAACTTCAATGATTGAGCTGTCTCTTGTCAGCAGAACCTAGCCATAAACTAGCATCTATTCCTGTGAGCCAGAGTATCTCAAACTTGGCTCTCAGCTTATTGCCTGGGGCAGTAGAATGCCTTTGTCAAGGCCTGTAGCAGACTCTGATCACTCTGGACTGCCCGCCTTTTGCAGGAAGAGCAGTATGTGACAGTTACCTGCCTTTCTGCCCTAGCTTCACTGGGACCTAGATATGTATATCAGAAACCGTGTGGACACGTCCCCCACGCCTGTTTCTTGGAATGTCATGTGTAAGCACCTCTTCGGCTTCGTGGCCTTCATGCTGCTCATGTTTTGGGTCGGGGATGTGTATCCCTCCTACCAGCCTGTGGTGAGTATCTGAGAAGTGCTTCCTTAGGCACATTTACTTAGCCCTGTTTCCTGAGGGAATGAAGTCTCTGCAGTAGGGATCCAGCCAATACTAAGCTTGGTTTCGTGGTAAGGCCTGTAGAGGGCGTTCACATTGGCCTGGTGTTAAGTACCAGAGCACACTGCTCCATGCCTGCATCTTGGGTCAGTATGAATGAGAAAGAACAGTTTAGGATTCTGAGGAATGAGAATGTGGAAGCCAGTTGGTCTCAAGAGTAGCCACTTGGGGACCGTACTTAACAATTGTGTTTCATCAAGTGATCTTTCAAGGTAAGAGTCATGGAATCTAGAGTTGAATCCTTATCCTTTTTGGAGGTGTGAAGGGCACCTCTGAAGGGATATTGGAAGCAATTAAAAATTTACTACAAGCATAGGCAGTTATATTTTGGGGAATGTAAAAGATGTAGAAAAAATACTGTCTAGCTTTAAGGAGGTTGAATTTGAATACAAAGAAAATTTAGATATATGACACAATGAGCAACATTTGAACAAATAGATAGGAATTTGGCATAGTTTTTGTGTATATAGGTGCTAAGGGATATGAAGTGCTGTTAAGGAGAAGGGTTAAACTATATGCTGAAAATTAATATACTTTAGGTCATGGGGAGAAGTTGCAGAGAACATTTGGGGCAAGAGAAAAACAGAATGAAGGAAGGGAAAGGAGAGTGAGTTAGCTGGAGTGGAACAAACATAAAATAATTACTAGATAACTAGCTGCATTGGTTACCTGGAGAGCTGCTCCACTTCCTGGAGAACCTAATTCAGTAGCCCCAAGTGGGATGCTAGAATCAATACTTAACAACTTTGCAGGTAATTCTGATGTCCTGGAATATTAGGTATGGAAGTTGTTATGTTAAAAATTATTGTGAGGTGAGCTGATCAGTTAGGTTGGACAGCTTTTACTGCATTGCTAAGGGATTTGGACTTGATGGTATAGTAACATAGTACTTCAACAAATATTTTTGAAGCCCTGCTGTGTACCAGGTACAGCCCATACTACGGGTTGGGGATATAGTGATGACTTGGCCTGCCTTTAGGCAGCCAGGAGCCATGTTGGGTTTTTGAACAGAAGAATGGCATGATGAAAGCTAGGTTTTTAGAAAGATTAATCTGGGAGTAATCTACAGGATAGATTGTAAGGAAAGGAACTGAAGGCAGGGATGCTGCTGTGTTTGCAGTTGGCTGCTCAGTGCTACCTCTGCAGAGATAATCAATGTCCTGATGGTAGCTGGTATGTCTGTGTGCACTGACACGAGCCTTCCTACCAAGCCCCAGGGGCCCCGGGCTAGAGAGTGCACATAGGGCTGGTGTGAGCACTAACTTCACTTCAGGAGAGCAAGAAACACAGTGTGGCTCTTCCATTTTTCAGTTCTGTAAGCACATCACCCTTTCTCCTCCCCTTGAGCTGTGTTCTCTGACAGCTGTTTGTTGGTAAAGCCAGCAGCCCCTAAAGCACGTCCCAGCCGTGTCTCTTCTGTGCTTTCCCCCACTGCTGCTCCTGCACGCCTCATTTGCTAGGCCACTTTAGTGGTGGAACCATTAGAGGCTGAGTGACTTAAAGGAGATTGAGTCTGTCTCGACCCCGAGAGAGAGTGGAATGGATGGATGCATCGTCTCATTTAGAAAGCTCTCCCTGGTGCTCTTCCTCATTTTTTCTCTCTCTCTCTCAGAAAGCTCTCTGTGGCGAGTGGGTTCTCTCTCTCTCTCTCTCTCTCTCTCTCTCTCTCTCTCACGCCCCCCCCCCCGCCTTGCGCGCGCGCGCACACACACACAGACACAGTGTAGGTACCACTTCTCTTACCATTGAGGCTTTCTCTCTGCCTTGGGCTGAGCAGGGAAGAAGAGTGCTCATCTGCCATTCAAGCCCCGCTGGGTCTGACCAGAGGCTAAAGCATACTGTTTACTGTGCGTGACTATTAAACTCAGAATGGGATGTAGCCAGGCATTGGCTGGTTGTATGTTGTTCTTGCTGACCTGTGTTTTTTCCTTAGGGGCCAAAACAGTATCCTTATAATAATCTGTACCTGGAACGAGGTGGCGATCCCAACAAAGAGCCTGAGCCGGTGGTTCACTATGAAATCTGAGAAGACTTCCTGGACTTTATGCCTCCTGACTGACTCCCTCATTCCTAGAGATTTAACCTAAATGAAATCCATAATAAAACATAGTGCTGTGGTATCTGTGTCTCATTTCCCCAGGAATAGTGACTGCTGCGAGGAACTTCATCCTTTGCTCTTTTTTCTGCCTTCTGTCTGTGCACCTATCCTCCCTCACCAGGATTGGAAGGAGGGCTGAATAGGGGGAGTTAAACACAGAAGATGTTAATTTGTTAACTCTGCTGTGACTGTGAAAGTAGCTGAGGGTTCCGTTTCTACAGGTGCTTAGGGTAGTTCCTTTTCTCATTTACAGGGTTGAGGAAAAAGGAAGATATGTTCCTGACTTCCCAAGTTGGAACAACAGTTATTCCCCATAAAAACCTTTTTAATAATAGTAGTTAGCTAACAAAGCATTATACTCTAACATGTTGTGAGTATATTATAGAATAAATAGGTGTTTTTGGACTGGCCTGGGGCTCTGACTTCCTCTAATTTTCTTTGTATAAATATGTTACTCCAAAGCAACTTCTGAATTTTAGCTTCTTATAAGCTAACATTTCCTATATTTGTGAATTAGGGGACAGTTCAGTGCATTATTACTGAACCTATGGCTTTCATTGCCTTAATGATTCATCCAAGCTACTGTATAGCCTTAGACAAAAACCATGTTTTTGAGAGTCTATCTTAATACATCTGGTTTGAAGTGAACCAACTTCTGCTCTTTCCTTCCATTTGGGGACATTTTCTTAAATTACAATTATATTGCTTAAAAAACCCATAAAAAAAGCATACTTTCCACAGACGTATAAAAATAAGTCCAAGTTAGATAAGGGGTCCTTTAGTGGTGTCCAGGCAGTGACTTTTATGACATCAGGGACTAGGTACTTCTACTGAAATACGTCTATTTGAAACTCTCC